TAAAATAAGATGGACTAGGAATAGGGAGTGATTAGGAGGACACCTGAGGGAAGTCTAGAGAGGGCTGGGGATAATAATGGGACACAAGAGGAGAACCTGGAGCGAGAACAGGAGGAGGCTGGGGACAGACAGACACAGAACACGACACAGATGCCTTCAGGGTGAATCTAGGAGCTTAACCCCAGACTCTGCTGGTCCTGGAGGGCTTGTGTCCAGCATGTTTTTGTTGTTTCCTCTGCTCCAAAAGACTTGATTCAGTGGTTGAATCTCCTGTTCATGCTCTGCAGAAGTCTGTTAAACCCCTGCTGCTTTAAATTAGGTGTGTTGAGGCAGGGAAACAACAAAAACATGTCGGATACCAGCCCTTCAGGACCAGGATGGAGAACCCCAGACTCTACATGCTTAATTATGTTGAATGTAAAGTTCAAGAATAAACATGTGCACGGCCTTATAGGCGTGTCTGTTTTACAGGTGTGTGGAAAGTAGATATGTGGGCTTCATTTGAAAACATTTTGGTGCAAACATCTCTAACTATAAAGCACGGTGGTGGAGGGCTAACGGCTTGGGCTTGTTTAACACTGTGATGTTTACCACTTGGAGGCAAACACGAAGAAAGGCGTCCAGCAGCTGTTCACAAACACAAGAGCATATCTACAGCCTAGATGCCCATGACTGATGGGACAAGCTGCAACTGTCCTGCACCCATGAGCAGGACTTGTGGGTCCAGGATGTAGGTGGGCAGATGAATGGACTGACAATGATCCAGACCAAATGAGCGATTAACATTAACAAATCTCCTCAGTGTGAATTTGTTCATTTTTCTAAAAGTCGTGAAAATAAACCTTTTCCAAACCATTTAACCTCTTTAAAAGAAAGACAAGATACAAAGCTAACACTTAAGAAGTAAAGCAGAAAACGAAGGGCAGTACAAAAGATGATCAGACAAAAACCTGATACATACAGTGCGTCAGAAAGACAGATTGAGGAAAAAGCTTTTTGATGAGGTTTGAGAGATCAATCTGCAGGAGATGCAGTCTATTACTCACAGTGTAGAGTTCATTTGTCACCTTCACCAGCTCCTCGTGCATCTGGATCCCAATCTCTTTGCTCTGAAAACAAAGAAAAGGCAATAAAAAAAGAGTAAAATCAACGTGGATGCTTGTCAGCAGTTACCTGATGGAACAAATATGTCATAAAGAAAGAAGTGAAGTGAACCCAAGGCAACCAAAACTAGTTTAGATGACGTTTTTAGAGTTTTGACCGCTGCATCAGGTTCTCACAATGACAGAAGCTTCCTTTTAATCACATTCATACACAAGTGAGAAGGTGTTGGAGTTCACATGTGGAGCACGCTACGTGCGACATCCTGACAAAACAACAAATACTGTTTCAGTGAGCAGATCAACACTCTTAGGTTTAAATCTTCATTAGTAACACTCGTCATTTGTGATTTCTTTCACCAACATGTTCTTTTTGTTGGTGCACAAATAAAAGCACAACTAATATTCTTTCCACACCCCAGGCCGACTTTCTTAGCAGTCGTGTTCAAAAACATCCAGAGGGAGAAGGAGCTGTTTGTGAAGGGGATCCAGAGGCAGAAAGATGAGGCGTGGAAATGCATAAACACAAGCAGGAAATGTCCGTTTGGTGGTGTTGCATAAAAATCGGCCCTTCTGCAGACATGCTGAAGCTACTTCAACGTGTTGGGATGCAATTTTGAACATGAGTGCAATACAGACAGACAAAAACAATGGGTTTTCATGGGAACAATAAAATCATACATGCTGTAGCTCTCTGAACAGCCTCAGTTTGAAGAAACAGAATGATTTCTGACAGGATTGATAGGCTAACTGCTAGACAGAACTAATTGGACTCCTGTCCTTTTAAAACAACTAAAAACTGATAGCAGTTTTTGCTCGGGGTGGGGGGGGTGGGGGGGTGGGGGGGGCAAAGCCAACTTTATTGTGGGGCCAGATTTAAAACTGGTCCTCTTGATCAACTATTCCTCACAAAAGTAAGATTCTAAGTTTCCCATGTGTGTCAGAGGTCATAAGTCCCAAAAACTATTAAGAAATGTGTCATTTTTATAGGATGTAAAATTTAGACGTCAAAAGCCAGAATTTCAGCTTGTTTTTCTTTACAAATAGTAAACCTAAAAGTTGTTTAAAAGTCTAAAGTGTCTCCATAAGTCACAGGGATTGACCAAATGGGAAAACAGCAGTTTTACTGTTTAGTAAAACCAAAAGCAAGACTTATCTCCTCGCTCACATTCTCACACCTGAAGTGTTGGAAAACGACAGCGAGTGATGGTTTCCCATGCGTTACGAGTCCCAACACATTGGGAGCCGACGCGCTGCGCCAGAGCATCAGTTTCTGACGCCCGCGGTAAAACGTACATTTCACTGATATTTAACCTCTAACCTCTTGCTATTTAACCTTCCCCTCACCCCCATCCTAAAGCTTGGCGGACACTGTGCGACTTTTTCACTCGTAGCACTCAGCTGCAGCTCAAACTGTACGACTTCCTTGCAGGGCAGAGCTCACGAGTCATGTGCTCACACTGCACGTCTGGTAGCAACACGTCGGCCCTAAAAAATGTGCTAAAAATAGCAGTTTTTACAGGTCAGACTTTCTTTGTCTTGTTTTGCCTGTTGTCCTTCAGGAGTGCTGCAGGAGGACACACAGGGATTTATGGGGGTTGGATGAGGAAAACGAAATAAAGAAAGTAAATCTGTGTTTAGTGATCAGTTTAATTTGACATGAACACGACAAACACGCTTTCTTGACAATCTTTGTGAGTAAAAAAACGTGTAGAAACAAAAACGAACAGCGTGTGTTATTAGGGAAATAGCGGGTGAGCGGTGTCGATGCAGGATTGCGCATGCGCCGTGAGCGGTTCTGATACTTTTTGGGTCACAGCTGCTCGCAGCGCCGCTTCGACAGTGCGATACCCTCACGAGGGACGAGCAAAATATCAAACACGCCAGAAGTTTGTGCGAGCTCACGAATGCTGATCGGTAGCTGGTCACGTGGTGTTAATCGCCTCTCGTAACACCCTGTACACTACATGACGCTCAGCGCAAAACTCGCCCCGATCTCGTGGATTCGCGCACGAGTGGAAAATCGGCTCAAAAAAGTGAAAAAAGTCACACAGTGTACGCCCGGCTTAACCTTAACCCAGTTTCTCGTTCTAAACTTCCTGTAAGAGATTAAAGGTCACAATTCAGTGAAATCTCCGTTTTACCGCGCTGATGCTCTGGTGCAGCGCGTCGGCTCCCGACGCGTCTGAAACAAATGCTTGGTCACCCAGTGTCAGTTTTCGACGCTTCAGGCGTGAGAATGTGTCATCTCGCTGTGCGTTCGTATTTTTAACACCTTAATCTAACAGCTGAAATGTCTCCTCAGCCTTCATTAGTGTCTACAGGAGTGATTAATCACTAAATCAAACAAATCAGCTGTGTTCACGATCTAAAACATGCAGGAAACGGGTCTCTGAGCTCCTGTGATTCAGAACACTCCTGATGTTGCTGTCTGCATTCTTTTTTTATTTTTAACTTCATCAGATAATTTCTTTTTGTTGTTTTGAGGCTCCACCATGACAAACACGTTACAATGAATGCTAACCAGGTATAGCTCATGCGTTCTGAGGTGGACCCTAACCCTGGACTTCAGGACAGCGGTCCAGAGAGGCTGAAGATGCAAACAGCTGACACGTTTCAGCCAGAACTTCTGCCGGCTGAAACGTGTGCGCCCAAGGTAAAGAAACGTCCAATTTCTTCACTGTGTTAAATAAGAAAAAAGAAGATGATTATGAATCAACACACAGAAGTGTTATAGAGTTCACTCTGCGTTTTCCTCGTCAGCGTAAGACTCATTTACTGACTAAGGCCCTGTCCACACGTAGCCGGGGATCTGCCAAAACGTAGATATTTTTCTACGTTTTGGCCTGTCATCCACACGAAAACGGAGTTTTTCACACGAAAACGGATCTTTTTAAAACTCCGGCCAAAGTGAAGATCTGCGTTTTCTCCGTTTTGGGTGTCTGCGTGTGGACAGACAAAACCGGAGTTTTAAGGTCCGCAACGTCACTTTCCGCGACAAAAAAATGCTGACATCACGTGTGCGACCTGTGTTTACACTAGCCGACAGCATGGATGCCCTCAGAGCTGCGCTCGCTTTATCAATTGTCCAAGCGCCTTTTGCTTGTTTGTTTTTGCAAGTGGAATTACTGCTCCTTGCGGAAGACCACAGACGAAGGACGAGGTTAAGAACGGGGGAAGTACTGCCGCCTACAGGTCTGGCACATCCTTAACAACGTATTTATCCGGGTACGTGTGGACAGAGTTTCTTTTAAAACGAGGTGGATTGGATGCAAGTTTTTGGAGGGGCGGATATTCGTTTAAAAAAAAACAGCTACGTGTGGACTAGGCCTCAGTCAGGCTTACTGTTCTCAGCCTCGTCGTGGACAAACTGTGGTGCACTTGAAAGGAAACACTGATGGGTAACCTGACCTGATATAAGTGAACAGGTGCAGGAGGAAACACTTGCCTTTCTGACAGGTGCTCCTCCACTAACAGCTGGAAATCAGGTGAACTGTAAAACTCCCAGCTGCTATTAATTACCCATTAAGTACCCCTATGGCCTTGTGGCCTGACCATTTCCCTCTGGATGCGGTGGTGCTGCTGGGCCACAGGGTATATTGCTCGTCACGAGCTGGTGCTTATCAAATATTATCTTGCAGGATAAATGGGTTTGACATAAATTACGTAAAGGTTTCCCAGAATAGTGTTTGCACTAATTGCAATGACATTTATATGCTGAAGTTAGGCAGTAATCTACTTTGGTCTTGCCACTGCTCAAACTAGCCATTGGCTTAACAATCCAGTCTGAACAAAACTCTGTTTCATCTACAGCAGGAAAGTCTTCATTTCCTTTCCACAGACCCACACTTGAACCAATCTGAAATATCACTTTAGGTTTAGCTCAAGCAAGCATGAGGCTGAAAGCTGTGCACAGGATTCCTCCTGAAAGGGCTCCAGCAGCTGGTGAGCAGCATCTGTATGCATCAGTGGCTCTGAGGCGAGACGGACTGCATCATGCACTGCAGAGGGAGCAGGGAGGG